AGCGCGTCCGGAGCCTGTGCTCCGCAACGGGAGAGGCCGCAACGGTGAGAGGCCCGCGTACCGCAAAAAAAAAAAAAATAATAATAATAATATATATATATATATGAACTTTTATCTAATTCAGAACATCTGTTCTCCTCCAGCTGGGGCTCAGCAGCCTGCTGTGGGGAAGAGGGGGTAGTTGATGTCTTTCCTCTCATTCCAGCTTTGTTCCCTGTTCACTAGCGACAGCTGCCTGTGGCCCCTTGGGGTGCTGGGAGTAGTTAGCGGAAGCAGAGCACAGTCTGCCTCGTGATCAGGCAGCTGGGTGCTGTGGTGGTTGCATACCCATTGTTGACTCTTTCTCTCCAAAGGAGCCTTGGTGGATTTTTGAGAAACCGCCCATCACTAGGGATCTCCCTTCTGCAGTTCCCTTGATGGGTCCTTCAGACCTCAGTCAGTATGTCACTTGCAGTTTTCCCTTAGGATCTGTAATGGGGGTTGTGGTGGGGGGGCAGTTTCCCTTTTATTGAGATCTCTTCTACCCTTTAGTTAGGCCTCTGGGGCGGGGTTGCTTTCAAGCTCACCCATGCCAGTGCCCTTCCACAAGACCTGTAAGGCTCACGATGACAGCTTCCTTATCCGTCCAGCAGGATAAATCTGCAAGTGCGTGCAGTTCCTTGGGCAGCCACGTACCAGTAGTTAAACGTCTGAGTTAGATATTAAGCCTCCCTCAAATTACTGGGGACTCTTGCCACGCTGAGTGGTTCCATTGAAGCTGTTCTTTGGGCTGACTTGGGATAGGAAGTGCCGCAGCACTAGAACATCTTTCTAACGGCCTCTTCAGGCTCTCAGTGAGAGCTTAGCTCAGGGTGTGTGGTCCAGCCCTCCACATTATAGTGTTGGAGTACTTTACACCTATTTTGTTATCGTCATTTGGAGCCTCTAATGAAAACGAAAAGACTCAAATTGAACATCCTGCTCTCAAGTTCTTTGATAGGCAGTGGGAGAAGAGGCACAGAGAGGTTAGGGCACAATTCTCACGTTCCTGAAATCATTTCTTTATGGTCTAACGTGTTGCAGTGTATCACTGGTGACTGTAAACCAGAATGAATATTCCTTTTGACTTATGAATGAATACATTTAAGTGAAAGAATCATGAAGACATGTAGAACAGTTGGAGGCCCTACCCCACATCCCACTATCCAGCAATAAAAAGAAATTGATGAATTCCATTTAACCAGACATAAGACTGGACTGAACATTCGACTTTATAGCCACCATATCTATATACATATATAAACTCTTGTATAACTTTTTTCTATTGTCATATATGCCTGTTTTCCTGTGTCTATACCTATAAATTTATCTCATTTCATTAGTACATAGTATTCTATTATATAGATGTGCCTTAATGTATTTAACAAATCCTCCTTCTGACAGACTTTTAAGCCTCCAGTTTTTGGGGTTTTTTTTTTTGACTATTATAAATAATTCTGCGTAAATGTGAATTTCTTGTACATCCTGGCTCACTTTCATATATATTTCATTTTTCTATTGTTTGGTGGTAGAATGTATGAATATAGTTGATTCTACTGACCTCACACCCAGTGACCTTGATACATTCATTTTTTTAGTTCTAATAGTTCATCTGTTCATCTAATAGTTCATCATTAATAATTTAAAAGATTCATTTTCATTTTCTAGGTACACAGTTGTCTCTAGAAATAAAGACAGTTTTATTTCTTCCTTTCAATTCCGTATACCTTTTTTTTTTTTTTTGCGGTATGTGGGCCTCTCACTGTTGTGGCCTCTCCCGTTTGCGGAGCACAGGGTCCGGACACGCAGGCTCAGCGGCCATGGCTCACGGGCCCAGCCACTCGGCGGCATGTGGGATCTTCCTGGACCGGGGCACGAACCCGTGTTCCCTGCATCGGCAGGCGGACTCTCAACCACTGCACCACCAGGGAAGCCCCCCGTATACCTTTTATTTATGTTTTTTCCCTCGTTGCACTGGCTAGTACGTCCAGTCCAGTGTCAACCAGAAGTGGTGATAGTAGGCATCCTGGCCTTGTTCCTAATCAAAGGGAAAGCTTTCAGCATTCTGCCTCGTGTTTTTTCTAGAGTTGTATAGACCTTCTCTGTCAGAATAAAGAAGTTCCATTCTCTCTCTAAGTTTTCTGAGAACTTGTATTGAGAATGGATGTTGAAATTTATCAAATGCTTTTTCTGCATTTATTAAGATCATATAATTTTTCTCCTTTAATCTGTTAGTGTAGAAAATTATATTTTTACTTTTTTTTTTTTTTTTTTTTTTTTTTGTTTGCGGTACGTGGGCCTCTCACTGTTGTGGCCTCTCCCTTTGTGGAGCACAGGCTCCGGACGCGCAGGCTCAGCGGCCATGGCTCACGGGCCCAGCCGCTCCGCGGCATGTGGGATCTTCCCGGACCGGGGCACGAACCCGTTTCCCCTGCATCGGCAGGCGGACTCTCAACCACTGCGCCACCAGGGAAGCCCCTTTACATATATTTTTTTAAATTTTGTTTTAAATTAAAAGTCATCCACATGAGACTTATTTATATACAGATGAGACTGTAGCGAACCATTCACTTCATCTGGGCCATTTTCTTTTGAGCTTGGTGTTAAGCAGTTTAGTTTGAATAGCTGTATAAATAGGTATTTATTATTACCATGTGCCAGGCCCTTTACTAATCACTTTGGATAACTTATTTCAAAAATCATCTCAAAACTTGTGAGATAAATACTATTATTCCTGTTTTTCAGACGAAAAAAACTGATTCTGAGAGAGAGTGATTTGCCCAAGGTCCAGCTGGTAGTTGGCCAAGCTAGATTTACATCTGGTCCAAAACACTTGCTTTGAAGCTATCCCAGTGCTTTCTAACCCTATATGCTCATCAAAATCACGTGAGAAACAAAATACCATGTCCTAGGCAGTAGCCAGATTGCTTCCCAGGGAAGAGTGTACCATTCTAAATGCACAAGAAAAACGAAAATAAATGGACTAAGCATTCAAGTTAATAAGCTGGAGGAAAGCACAAAATAAGCCCCATGAAAATAGATAGAAGGAATAAGTTTTTAAAACACTGGAAGACAATAACTCCTGTGAAACCATAACATTAAAATTCTGGTGGATAAATTTTTCTCTTTTTTTTAGGTCTAAAGGCATCACGAATAGTTGGACTCAACTCCTCTGGTTCCTGCAGACGTTCCTTTTTGGGATGGCATCTCTCTATTACTTGATTGATTACAGACCGAGACGCCATAAACAAACTTAAAAAAGATATCCAAAAAAACCTGAATCACTATTTTGTACACTTGAAACTAATATAATATTGTAAACCAACTACACTTCAATTTTAAAAAAAGAGAGAAAATATAGCATCTAAAGTTCCTAGGAGATTAAAAAAGATGTTCCAAAGCTTTCTCTACACTGACATTCAGCCTCACCTTTTTTGGGGGGGGTGCTGTGTTTACTTGATCTTTCTAGGAAGTTACGACCCTCTAGTTATTCACTGTTTTCTTCATCTGCTCTGGTTAAACTTGAGTAGATAGTAGGAAAAGATTTTAGCTTCCCAGTTCTGCAGACTAACCTATTTGGCAGAGGGCTTCCAGCTACCTTCTTGCGGTCCTTGGCTGTGTTGGCATTCTCCCTGTCACCCTGGTTTAAGCCACAGACTAAGTTTGCCTGTTGGGATATCTTTGCTCCTACCTTATGATTAAAACACCTTACCCTTACCACCACCATCTTATCAGCTCTCCTTTCCCCAAATTTTTTTTCCACCCACCTGGACCAAAATAGAGTGACACTTCCATAACACATCAGTTCCACCCACATTTGTTAGACACCTGTGAGGTGGGATCTTCTCTTTTCAGGCTTCCATTTCAGATTATAGAGAAAGATGAGGAAGACAAGCAAGTGCCTGGAATGGGGCAGGCCAAGAGGTGACACAGAAGTACAGAGGACATTCTGGGAACCAAGAAGGAATGACTGGGGAATGCTTTCTCTGCTGCTGCCAGCCAGAAGTGATGCTTCCCTCCACTCGACCCTCCGACATAGTGCTCTGTATGTGCAGGATCTGATGTCCACCTTCAAGTCAGGACCACATCTTAAGACAGCTTCGTTTTTTCCTCTAGCACCTGTCCCATCGCCTCACACGCAGGTGTTCTCTCAGTGTTTACTGAAGAAAGGAGGGAAACTCTGATTTCACTTTGCACTTGTTGAGCATCATTCCAGTTTTTATCTGAAAACTGCAGAACCCATTCAGGGTACCCTTGTATCAGAGAAAAGCGCAGGACTGCTCTTGTCTGGTACCGCCATGTTTCTGTGGGTCCCCTGGTGGGAAACCCGTATCTTTTTCACACTTTCCTATTCTTGGTCACTTTTTCCAGACACTGTAGATGTCTCCCTCCAGTTCTGACTCACTCAGCCATTCCTGTTCTCTCATTCACCTGGTTATAACTTAACTACTGACTGGTTGAGGCAGGAGGGTTACTGACTCACCTCAAGGAGCCTTTAGGGCTCCTTTCCTGGAGGACCCCCTGCTTGTTCACTAGGGACTAGACCTTATTTTCCTTCCATGACACAGTAGGTCATGTTATTTGTTTTAAGCAAACATGAGAAACAGCCCCCCTCCCCCCAAAAAAGAGGCCTCAAGTAAAAGCACAGCCATGAAAGATGATAGACTATGAATTGGTTTTGGTGGAAATCAACTTCTACACATAAATCCCAGTCTTTCCCTCTGTTTCTCTTGTGATTAAGGGGTTATTATTAATGGTGCCAAGGATAATATGGCAGATTACTGAATGAAATGTATTAACTTGAATAAAATGTTGTGAATTGTGTCTCCAATCAAATGCTTTTTTTGGTCAGTTTTGATAGTATTGTCACACATTTGATTCTACTCTTTCTCAAAAAGACTCTATTCTGGAACTTTGTATCAGGGATTTTTTTTCTTCACTGATAAAGAAATGCAGAATGCCCTAGTTGTAGGACATATGGTCTTCCTTACGTTTCTAGAGCTGTCTATAGTCCACTTAACTCCTCCACATACACCAAGTTGTGGGTGGACACGAGCATCTCCTTTCATTGCAGGATTGGCCTCCTGTTTCCACGACATTTCATTCAGTGTTTGATGTAGTCTGCAGCAAGTGAAAGGAGTACTCTGATTTTTTTTTAATGCCAAAAGTATAAAATGCTGTAATCTTATTTGGGGTATTATCATAGCCTAGAGCCAAAAAGGATCTTAGCAAACAGGTGCGGGTCATTCATTTTATAGACCCATAAGCTGCATCCCATGGAGGTGAAGTAACAACAGAGGCCAGACTAACTGGATCTCATGTTCTGCCTCTTCCTCCCCCACAGTCCAGGAGCCTAGAAGTAAGTCTGAAGCAAAAAACAAAAAGACACAGCTTTGTGTTGCAGTCACAGTGGTGATACAGGGGAAACATCTATGTTGAGTTTGGATGAGAAAAGGCCAGCGGCATCTTGTTGGAAACAACCATGGAGGGCAAACAGACTAAAACCCCAAATATATCAAGGGCAAGTATAGTTTGGAAGAACAAAAAAGCAAGGCCCAATGGCGGGAACAAAAACAAAAAACTAATGACCTCACAACCTAAAAACAGGCCAGATTTATAAACTAACACTTTCCTACATTCAACATGTTTATGAGTCCATTGCAATCCATCTCCAAACGTTTTATAAGCCATGGTTTTAAAACAAGCCTTGAGTTTAAGAGGCTATACTCTAGATGTGTAAAGCGGTTCTTTAGCAAAACAACTTGCCATCTGGGATCCTGTATGTATTTACATGGAGGGCCTGAAAACACCAAAGAAACGTTGGAGAACCTGCCTTTAAGGTTAGAGCACAGAATGCAATCACATTGTTATTGTTGCTCAGGGCCCTTGCTGGAACCTTGTTAACTAAATCTCTTAGTTGAGCAGCCTGGGTTGTAAATATCATTTTTCCTTTCCTTCTTATCAGCACAGACAAAAAAGAATCTAGGGCGCCTGAGTAATATATTTGTAAGTCTGTGAGACCCTTCTCTCTTTAAGGCTCCTTGTCCACATCGAATTGGAAATTATGGTTCCTTTTTTCTCAACGTTGGACAATGAGAGTGTGTATTTATCATTTCACATTTCTCTTTATGAAGATCTATAGTCTTGATTCCACGCTGGACACTTGAGAATCCTATCCAAAATACTGTATTCGCAATTCTATCCACAAACATTTTAAGATGGCTCTTAAGGGACTTCCCTGGTGGCACAGTGGTTAAGAATCCTCCTGCCAATGCAGGGGACACGGGTTCAAGCCCTGGTCTGGGAAGATCCCACATGCCACGGAGCAACTAAGCCCGTGAGCCAAAACTACTGAGCCTGTGCTCTAGAGCCGGTGAACCACAACTACTGAAGCCCACGTGCCAGAACTACTGAAGCCCGTGCACCTAGAGCCTGTGCTCCGCAACAAGAGAAGCCACTGCAGTGAGAAGCCCGCGCACCGCAAAAAAGAGTAGCCCCCGCTCGCCGCAATTAGAGGAAGGCCGTGCGCAGCAAGAAAGACCCAACGCAACCAAAAATAAATAAATAAAAAATAAAATAAATTCATTTAAAAAAAAGATGGCTCTTAAGCTTTCTGAATAGGATTGAGTATACTAATTGCTCCATTTCTGTTTATAGTAAGGCATAAAGTTGGACTGTGGAAAATACCTTTGGTGTACTAAATACTGTTCAGGGAAATATTCATGAAAGAACTTTTACTTTTCCCTGTACCAACACATTGCACTGGATGTCTGTAGTAAATAAAAAATTACTCAATATAAATTGTCACTAAAATTGAAATCTTGACATTGCTGCAAATAAAAGAGAGGAGTGACGTCTATAATATAAAGTAGAGAAATGTTTCCTGAACCTCGGACATGGAAGGACCACCCTCACAACACAAATCTTCTTAAGCAATAATAATTATGAAATGCCACACCTGGTTAGTTTGTTCATTATATTTTTCTCTAACACATATGAGAATAAAGCATACTTTATATCGATACCTAAAATCACCATGCATACTAATGCTGCATTTAGCACACTATTAATAATCAAAAAGTATTCTACTATCCACCGAGACTGAAGTTGGGATTTACCTGGCTCCAGACACAGGATTTTAGGCAAGTCTGTCACCTTCCTGGACCTCAATTTCATCATTAAAAAGAATAAGAATAATTTTACATTGTGGCTGGGATGAAGATAAAATAGTAAATTTAAATGAAATCATCTATGCAAACCAACTTTGTAAACTGTAACATTAATCAAGAGTATAGTTTTTACTGGAAGGTTGGTCATGGATGATGATGTACCCTGAATTTCTCAAACTTGACCGTGCAGATGGATTCTGTGAGATCTTGTGAAAATTCAGGCTCTGATTCAGTGAGTGTGGAACGGGTCCAAGATTCTGCATGTCCAGCAAGCTCCCTGGTGATCTTCAGACCACTTTGAGTAGTAAGATTTTTAGAGAAAATTTAGAGCAAGAACCCAAATGGTTTGACCCTGATTTCATGAGGCTTGGGGTTGATTTCTATACATGACAACATGTTTGTGTCAAGAAGAAGCACAACTAAACACCCTCACTGGGAGCTCAGCACTCAGTGTAATCAATCCTTGGAGTCCTGACAATCGGCAAAAAGCACTGCTGTGGGGCTAAAAATGCTATGAATATAACAAAACAGAAACAGACTCACAGATACAGAGAACAAACTAGTGATCACCGGTGGGGAGAGGGAAAGGGGGAGGGACAAGATGGGATGGGGAATTAAAAGGTATAAACGACTATATAAAATAGATGAGCTACAAGGGTATATTGTACAGCACAAGAAATATAGCCAGTACCTTAAAATAACTTTTAAAGGAGTATAATCTATAAAAATTTTGAATCATTATGTCGTACACCTGAAACTAATATATATTGTAAATCAAGTATACTTCGATTTTTAAAAAACTGATGAAGTTAGCCAACTGGCATATCTGCATACTCCTCCCTCCTTGAGAATAAAAGTTTGGGATTGAGGTCTTTTGAAGGTAAAGAAGAACTCAGTACTTTTCAAATATTTATTTTTATTCTAGACACCGGTATGAAATACCTAACATCCACAACTCTTAGAGGTAACGACTGAAAGTTGAGGACACTGAGGGGAGATCCCTGCCCGAATGGCTGACCAGCTCAGGCCACTGACTCCTTCTCCCAAGATCAAACTTGAAGAAACAAACACATGAGAGAAGTTATGAA